TTTTATGATTTAATTAATTATTAGCTCTTCATCAACTTACAAACGTGCTTGGGAAACCCTGACGTAATATTATATTCAATGTGCATCATGTTGTTAATAACAAAGAACTGATAAAATATTTCTATGTCAATATGGTACACGATTATCCTATTTAACTCAATGTGATAAACGAGTTAGTTCAAAAGTAATCAAAAAGTACTCAGATTATACCTAGAATATGTAAGATTACAATGCTAACTAAAGTTTTCTTCATTTGCAATCAGTGTTAGACAAACATTTCAGATGAATTTCTTCAGGCCAAGCCTAAAAAATAACCAAAGGGAATTTTGATGCCATTTTCAGAAGAAACTCCGACAGACAAGACAAAAGGCTGTATGTGGAAACGCTGTTGCATATTAAACTCTGAATGAGACCATGGCCTGAAGGTCCTCAAGATGTTTCTGGACTGCAGCATTTAATGGTCAAAAGTGTTTCAATCAGCTTGCATCGTGCCATTGTATACATAATTATATTGATAATTCAAACTATTAGTTACAAAACTTAACATTTAACACAGCTAGGTTTTGGTCACAGTAGTTTGAGAAACTAGTCGTATGTGTGTTACACTGAGTGTTAGATCAGGCAGGCCTGTATTGTTCAGGGTTGTTTGTGTCTGTCTGTGTGAACCTTCACTGTATCTCCTTGCTTATAAAGTGAGGAAAGGAACATTCTGATATCACTTCAGGCTTAGTGATGAAGGCCATGTCTGTTATGATACAGTGTTTCTATAGAGACTCATGAACCGAGCTTTGAGTAAGCGTGCACAGACAGCACCTGACCTGTTACTCCCTGTGTGGGAAAAAAGGGAGTTTTTTCTGTGCAAACTCTTACTTCCTCCCTGAATGTAATAATTCTCAAAATGAGAAAACCCTGGAATTCACAAACCTCTGTGTGGGAACTTTCACATTTCATTTTTCATATCAGGACAGTTCACCTAGCTCACCCCAAAATGAAAATGTTGTCATTGTTTAGACACCCTTGTGTAATTTCAAACCCATGTGACTCATACAGAGAAGCAAACAGTGGAACAGAGGCTCAACATGAATGCTTGACGTGAGAACAAAGCTCATTGGTTCCTGCATGCGCGTCATGTTTGATCGAACATGTTAACCATATATATGTGAATAAAAAGTTTATATGTGAATAAAAGCGTAAATTAAATTTGTTCATCATATAAAGTGAGCGTGTCTGTTTAGAAGACTTCAATGAAACAGCTTGGTTCTGTTACGATGTCTTTATGTACTTTTTGAATTTCAATGGATGAACAAAAATAGAGAATACAAAAAATATTACTGTTTCGTTTCTTACACCGCTGTAAGCGATCGACCAATCAGAGCAAAACGGAGTAGACCAATCACAACAGAATAGGTCATCTGACCAATCAGAGCAGAGTAGACCAATCACAACAGACTGGGTCATCTGACCAATCAGAGCAGAGTAGACCAATCACAACAGACTGGGCCATCTGACCAATCAGAGTAGACCAATCACAACAGACTGGGCCATCTGACCAATCAGAGCAGAGTAGACCAATCACAACAGACTGGGCCATCTGACCAATCAGAGCAGAGTAGACCAATCAAAACAGACTAGGTCATCTGACCAATCAGAGCAGAGTAGACCAATCACAACCGACTAGGTCATCTGACCAATCAGAGCAGAGTAGACCAATCACAACAGACTGGGCCATCTGACCAATCAGAGCAGAGTAGACCAATCACAACAGACTGGATCATCTGACCAATCAGAGCAGAGTCGACCAATCACAACATACTGGGTCATCTGACCAATCAGAGCAGAGTCGACCAATCACAACAGACTGGGTCATCTGACCAATTAGAGCAGAGTAGACCAATCACAACAGACTGGGTCATCTGACCAATCAGAGCAGAGTAGACCAATCACAACAGACTGGATCATCTGACCAATCAGAGCAGAGTAGACCAATCACAACAGACTGGGTCATCTGACCAATCAGAGCAGAGTAGACCAATCACAACAGACTAGGGCATCTGACCAATCAGAGCAGAGTAGACCAATCACAACACACTGGGTCATCTGACCAATCAGAGCAGAGTAGACCAATCACAACACACTGGGTCATCTGACCAATCAGAGCAGAGTAGACCAATCACAACAGACTGGGGCATCTGACCAATCAGAGCAGAGTAGACCAATCACAACAGACTGGATCATCTGACCAATCAGAGCAGAGTCGACCAATCACAACAGACTGGGTCATCTGACCAATCAGAGCAGAGTAGACCAATCACAACAGACTGGGTCATCTGACCAATCAGAGCAGAGTAGACCAATCACAACAGACTGGACCATCTGACCAATCAGAGCAGAGTAGACCAATCACAACAGACTGGATCATCTGACCAATCAGAGCAGAGTCGACCAATCACAACAAACTGGGTCATCTGACCAATCAGAGCAGAGTAGACCAATCACAACAGACTGGGTCATCTGACCAATCAGAGCAGAGTAGACCAATCACAACAGACTGAACCATCTGACCAATCACAGCAGAGTCGACCAATCACAACAGACTGGGTCATCTGACCAATCAGAGCAGAGTAGACCAATCACAACAGACTGGATCATCTGACCAATCAGAGCAGAGTAGACCAATCACAACAGACTGGATCATCTGACCAATCAGAGCAGAGTCGACCAATCACAACAGACTGGGCCATCTGACCAATCAGAGCAGAGTAGACCAATCACAACAGACTGGGTCATCTGACCAATCAGAGCAGAGTAGACCAATCACAACAGACTGGATCATCTGACCAATCAGAGCAGAGTCGACCAATCACAACAGACTGGGTCATCTGACCAATCAGAGCAGAGTAGACCAATCACAACAGACTGGGCCATCTGACCAATCAGAGCAGAGTAGACCAATCACAACAGACTGGGTCATCTGACCAATCAGAGCAGAGTAGACCAATCACAACAGACTGGATCATCTGACCAATCAGAGCAGAGTCGACCAATCACAACAGACTGGGTCATCTGACCAATCAGAGCAGAGTAGACCAATCACAACAGACTGGGCCATCTGACCAATCAGAGCAGAGTAAGCTCACGGAAAGGAGGGGTTTAAAGACTCTATCGAACTGTTTTCAGACTCTCTGAGAGATGAGGTGAGGCTGCAAGCAGTGATTTCACCAAGAGCAACATGTTCCTGGAGCAACATATCAACCAATCAGAGCAGAGGGACAAGTTTAAAGTTTATGTCAAGTTCAGGCTTACAACCAGAGTTAGGTGCTTCAACATCAGTGTTATTCACCTATCATTTCCCTCTTATTTTAAGGATTACTTATGGATAGGGTTAGGCTTAGCATAGGGTTAGCACAGGATAGGGTTTCCAGACCAGAATCAACTAAATTTGCTGACCCAGGAACGCGTCTAACTCAGCAAAATCAGGGCGTGCGATGATGCAATGTATATTTTAATGACATGTTGGAGAGTAAATAGTGACAATTTTCTCAGTTATTCCTTATTGGAGATCACTAAGATCACTGAGACCATATGATATTTATGTTGGTGCCTGTCACCTAAAACACAACCTACAGTGCTGTTAATTCACATAACAGAGATCATCATTCAAATAATATAATACACATAATCGTGAGCTCTATGAGATATATAGGAGGGTATATGTATGGTGGGAGAGAAAGAGTGCGATGGGAATCACACACATTTGTAGAACCTGGCCTGGGCTTGCCATGAACTTGCCATGAAAAGACCAAAGAAAACTTCCCTAATCCCACCAAGGAAGAGGGCCGTGAGGATCAGGGCTGGTCAGAAGGTTATTCTGAACACATTCATCAAGCATTAGCGTGGGGATTATGACCCGGCACGCTTCGCTGCACTCCTCGCCCATCAGGGTCTCGTCTCTGGCTGGCCAGGGCAGTTCGAAAACCTCCTAGTCGTGGATACTCACGGATAGACTGACTGTTGGCCTCATGGGGTCTGAGGAAACACCTGACAACACACTCGACAGGACAGGTGAGCGATCTGCTGCCTCGTGACCAGTGATCAGTGTTCACCTGTCCTTCTGGTGCACAAGATCATATCTTTATAGACAGAGTGACTTTTGAACCCCACCAGGTCACCGAGACATCTGTTGCGGTATCTAAATATACAGGGAATAAAAGTATAGTCCTATCCGCGGCCACAGCTGTCATGACAGACTCTCACATGTCGAATCATACAGAACTGAAAACCAGCAACTGCATGAGTCTGAGATCTAGTCCAGAAACTAACCAAACAAGCCTGGAGCCCTCAACAAGCAAAGCCTTGCAGGACCAGCGTGAAACTTTTTACTGCAATAAAAAACGACAGAATAACAGCATTCCACCATGTTATGTTTGCACGTGAAAAGCTATAGAACAGGTTCAGCAGTGACATGTGTTTGCAGAGAGACATGACAGGGTTTAATCTGTATAAATTGTATTTTTTTCACATTTAAATGATCTTTTAAATGTTAATTTTTCAATGCAGTCTATGGGGTATAACATACGTTTTCTTGAGTTAAGCTATAAATAATTTAATTAACAAGCATAAAAGATAATTGAAGACAAACTTTTGCTTTGATCATCCAAAAAGCCAAGTATTTTGGTAAGGAGTAGTGACAGATTTACGCGTTAATAACAGAGAACGCTCTCAGAACTTTAGTTCTGGACAAACGTTCAGCAACATTATTAGAACGGTGTTCAAAGTTATCTGGACTTTAAAAATGCTTTCAAAACGTTCATAGAGCGTTTTTCTTCACAACGTTGAGAGAACAACGTTATGGGAACGTTATAGCGAAACATTCTTCAACATATTTTTGTTATCAGTGAATGCCTTCTAATTCATAAAAAGCATACATATGTGTCCATTTTGACAATCTAGATATCGGCCAGTAATAGATTGTCTTTATTTGATGATGTATTAGTACTCACCCTGATGTTTCCTCTGCTCCGACACTTTGCATTGGATCTGTAGATATATCCAGTCAGAACAGAACTTCACACCATCAGGCGTTCATCAGATCGATACAGCTGACTGATAACACTCACTTACACACGCATGCGTGCTCACATGTTTCGCATAGTTTAACACAAAACATGTAAAAGTATCAAATTAAAGCGCTTCGCATCAGACTTTTGATGCGAAGGGAGATGCGTTTGAGGGAGAATGTTAGCGGTCTCCTATTCCTCGTTTGTACTGTTGTGACACGCCAGGAGCGCGCGCGCGCGCGCACACACACACACACACACACACACTCCTCCTCTCTTCAGTTCAGTCGGATGGGAGAGGTCTGGTTTGCCGATGACAGGTCACGCGGATGTGTCCCACTAACCCTCCACGAGCAGACATGGATCATTATTATGCTCTCCTTTAAAGTTTTACTGCATCCATGAAACATTAGAAATGTGTTTCAGATCATTTTACTATCTGTTTCACTGTAACAATATTTCTCATTAAATGTGTAGGCCTACATGTAGGCTATGTCAATCTTAGAATGGGCAGATAACGTTATAGATGCTGAATCTGGGAACCGAGTAGCCTATATAGTGCCACTGTCACCATCAGTAGTAGAGAGCTAGTGTGCGGTATTAGTACGCCCCCTTGCGACGCTACTTTACCAATCACCAGTTAAAAAACAGAGAGGGTGTTTACAAATAAGTTAACAAACATTATTGTTTAACCATCTGGGGTACTTCATTTTAGAATCATACTCAGGACCTTCGGGTCAAAAATGACCCGGAGGGCGGCATTAAGATACATTTTTTTTGAGTAAAATCAATGAAATATATTTTTGTTCAATAATATTTTTTCTTTTCTTTTTTGGTGTTTTGAGATAATTTTATGATTTAAAATTAATATTTATGCAATAATTAAGACCCATTTTTTCCCATTGAATGTAATAGAAAATTTATATATATATATAATAAAATAATTTTTTTTATTAAAGCTGTATTTCATTTTAGAGTCAAGTCCAAGCCTCATGAAAGCAATTTTTGAAATGAGATCGGAGCCATCTGGTGGACACACTGAGGATTTTTATCACGCAATAGCACATTTTTACCACTAGTGGATTTACAGCTCTCTAGAAACCTATGGTAGAAACACTTTAGTGGTTTTTTTCACATATTGTTTAATTTTTTTCAGGTTGTTGATTTGAATATATAATAACAGATTCTCAAAGACTATTTTTGTATTTATTTGTATTTTTTCTTTGGTTTAAATGGTAATTTGAAGTGGCAGTTTTACTTTATAATACAGTCAAACCTGAACATTGCATTATAAAGAGAACAAATGGAATTTTTTTTGTCACCCATTGTTTTAAGAGATTCACCCCTTCACTGTTGTGTGTTTTTTTTCTGCATCCTGGCTGTTTGGTAGATTGTATGCACAAAAAAACTCTGTATTTTTACATTTTTGCCAATTTCCCATTCATTTCCTATGGGGGTCATCTTTGACCCGAAGGTCCTGAGTGTGACTATTTTTTTTTACGACCACTTAGACTTTTCAAAACCTGTCCCCAATTTTTTTGGGTGTTCATATACCAAGTACAAAAAAGTCACCAAGTTTCGGACCATTCCGATGAAGCTACAATTTTTAACATTTTTTAAAAAAACGCTTCGGGACATTTTTGTCCCGAAGTACCCCAGAGGGTTAAAAAGGTAATTTGCTTAGCTTTTCTAAACTCCATTACTTCTTTCCTGCCTCTATCATAAAGACAGTTAGTGAAAAAAACCAAACCTGTACCACAATGTATTTAAAATATATTTATTTTTTTATACTACAAATCCATATAATATTTACTGACATATCGCTTACTGATATAAATATTATAATGAAACTTTGTGGAGTAGGCTACTTTATTGCACAATGCACATTTATTAATATTAAGCTTAAAATGTGTTTTAATATCACTCACTATATTAGGCCTAGTAAGGATAGTATGATCTGTGTATAATATAAGTCTTAAAATGCAAGATATTTAAAGTGTGCCTAAATATAGGCTACTTGCATTTCCACTTCAGCACAATCAAATACACTTCAGTATATCTTTAGTTGGACCTCGGCACTATTTTTGGAAACCTAATTAAGCACAAAATTACTTGTTCCAATTTAGCTGACTTTAAGTATATCAGTTTAGTATACCAACTAATATTTACATTAAGTACATGCATGCACATTTATTTGTAGTATACTTAGCATAAAATAAATTCATTTCAAATACATAGTATATTTATTTTTCACTAGGCAGTGTAAAAATAAAATTAATAATTTAAAAAAAGTATAATAAAACACTTACTAAAAATTTGAACTATTTACCTGCAAGCCGTATGGATTATTGCGCTGATCCATATACTATATTACAGGTCATCGGGTACTTGTGACTTTTTATTTTACAAATGTGACTTTTCATGTCGATCCGCTGACAGAAAGAGTGTGTGAATCTGTGGAGAGAAACTGCCTGCAGGTGGCGCTATCACAACTCAATGTCGGGAAGTAGAAAAGCCTCAGTGTTCCACACACACACACACACACACACACACACGTGTCAGTCGTGTTTACTTCCGTGAGGAGCCAAAGCTGTGCTAAATGCCTCTGAAGAGAGCTGTGATCGTGCCGGGAAACGGAGCAGGGAATGTCGAGCACTGCAACTGGTATGGATGGGCAAACAAACGAATAAACGAGGTATGATGACTTCAACAAGAGATTGAAACCCGTTCAGCTGTTATAATGACAGAGATGTTTCATTTCAGCCCGAATATTAAAGTGTGCACCTTTATTACAGATTCCAGATGTGTCATGCGCGCTGAGAAACATGCCGGATCCTGGTAGTTCACATTCACATCACATGACTGCATTACACTGACTTCATGAGACATGCTTCTGGTATTATACTACAATATGCTGTGTAACCTGACAGTGACTGCGAGAGAGAGCATCTGGCTGCCGTTCATGGAGAAGGACCTGAGATGTGATGAAGAAACACTCATCATCGGACACAGTTCAGGAGCCGCTGCAGCCATGAGGTACTCGACTCAGCGATTCATATGAATCATTCGATTCGTGTTCGAAACGATCCGATTCATCAGGACTAATTCATCTATGAGCAAAGTGTTTACCAGCAAATCAGCTCTGTGCTTACTTATTTAATTAATCTATCAATGTATTTATTTACATTTCTTTTGTTTCCTCCCCTAATGATTCGAGTCAAATCGAGTTGAATAATCTCATTGATCATGAGTGATTCATCATTTTACCTGAAAAACCAATGAAAGTAAAACACTCAGAGACACATCTGTGTCACGTGTGTGATCATTTCTATCACTATCACTCTATAAACTACATGATTGCTTGTTTGTGGTGTGCTTCAACAGGTATGCAGAAACACACCGAGTGTTTGCCATTATTCTGGTCGGCGCGTACACATCAGATCTGGGAGATGAGAATGAACGTGAGAGCGGTGAGTTTGAATAAAAATCCCTCATCGTGGCATCATTGGTCGTCAGTGTGAGTGTGTGTGTGTGATGTATCTTCTCTTATGACGCTCAGGATATTTCAGCCGGCCATGGGAATGGGAAAAGATAAGAACAAACGTGAAGTACATCCTTCAGTTTGGATCCACAGACGACCCGTTTCTGCCCTGGGAAGAGCAACGAGAAGTGGCCGATGGACTGAAGACAGATTTATACAAGTATACAGATCGTGGACACTTCCAGAACACAGCCTTCCCGGAGCTCATCGACGCAATAAGAAAGCTCAAAACCAACAGCTAAACACACACCGAGAAGTTGTGTATTTAAAATATACTATCGATGTGCTGGAAGTCAGTGCTTTAGTTCTCTGGGGCCAAAAAACAATTTGTACTTTACAAGAAGTGAAGACAGTTTATTATTGTGGATGAATTGGGAACAGGCCATTTTGAGTTTCAGTACATGATGTAAATCAAGTTTTAGAAATCCAAACATCTGAAATAAAACACCCATGTAAACTAGGACAAAACAGAGTAATCGATACAAAATCAAAAAAGTAATGGCACTTACAGCAGTTGTTCTCAAACACAAACAACATCCAACTCAACAGTTTAATACTGTGCAAACACTTATCAGTTCTGGTTATTACGATTATACTGACACACAGGGTTTAATCCTCACATGTACAGGTCAAGTCCTACTTTTGGACAGAAAAGATTACAGTTCTGGTTCTAATCAGTTATAGCACCGTTTGTTAAGTCAACATAAATATCTAATTTGATTAAAGTACACACCCTCTCTTATATTGTTGAGGAATGGTATGTCTTATTATTTTAATAGTGGACTGAAATAAAGCATTCATTTTTACTCAATCCAGTAACACTGACTTCTTGTAAACAACTATCTATATAGATCACCCAAAATAAAAATCATTTTACTCATCCACATGGTCTTAACGTCTTCCTGGGAACTTAAAGTAGTTCACTTTGTTCTTTATAACAGCAATTTTATTCTTCCTGTCATGCAAAGCAACTGTACATCTTCAGAAGACTTTGTATTGACTTTAACGGTACTTTTTTAGCTCAAAATGCAAATTTGTTCCACAGGGTTTGAAACAACATGGGTGAGTAAACATTTTTATTTTTAAAACGGCACCAAAAAGAGGTATCTCTGATCAAACTGCTGTCATGAGAATCATATATTGATTATTCTATAAACCTGAGATTGGAAGTAAAGTGCATCATCAAAACCAAAGCATCATGTAAACCAGCCAAACTGCTCACACATAAACCTTCCCTTGTTGTTTTCAGAGGCATACAGCTCTACGGTTTCAGAAAAGCAGTTCTCTATAACCTCACACATCCATCAGAAACATTTCTTCAAGCAGAATAACTGAAGATTATTTCGATGAATAACAGTGTGTCATTAACAGAGCGTCAGTGTGACGCTCTCAGTGTCCGGCGTCGGAGCGTGTGTGTGTGTGGCGTCTCATGCTTTAGGATCTATAAGGTCTTCCTCTTCCGTCTGGCTTTGGAGTATCCTCTGCCGAACCATCCGCCCTGAAGCGCAGGGCCCTGGCCTTGAGCCTGCGCGTCACACGGGTCCTCCTCCAGAGCACCAGGGGGCGCTATCTCCTCACGAGAGTGACTCTCCTGCTCCTGTGGACCCAGTGCTTTAGCCAAGCTGAAGATGGGGTCTTGCGATCTGTTATTCATCGAAATAATGGCAATATTACAAAAACAGCGTCTGCCAAATGCAGAAATGTAAAAGTATTAAACGCAATCAGGCTTGAGGCCATGTTATATTATGAATATAATGTGCTCAACAATTGCCTTTAACCCTCTGGTCCTGTTCGCTCACATTTGACTGAAATAAATAGCATTTGGGGAATTGTATAGTAACGGGAGAAGATTTCCCCCAGTTGGGTACTGCACCACAACACTCTTACTGAACGCTCACTTCTGGAGATATCAACCTCACAGTGGAACAGCTTTAGATTTATGGCTTTGATTTTCCTGCGGTTTTAGAGTTAAACATGTTTTGGGAAATAAATATAAAAAAAACAAAAACAAAGATAAAACTTAAAAATAGTATTTTTGTGCATTTTTCATAATAAACTTAAACTTCTGTCATGTTTTACTTTCACAACAATCTGCTGTCTCTTCTGTAAAGAGACCAAACTTCAGCATTCAAGATTTATAACACTTTCAGTTGGACATTTCACCTTTATGCACAAAAAGTGCATAAATGGATTATATCTACTGCATAAATATAATTTAGTACATAAAATCATCAAACAATACATAATGTTTGATAATGTTTTTTAATATTTTATTAAACTATAGTACATTTATTTCATTGAAATATATATATAAAATAAAGAAATCTGTCATTTTCGACTGCCACACCAGAGGGTTAATAAGTGAAATCAGTAATAGTTGTAGATTTTCTGAAGTTCTCATAATAAAGGACTAAAAGACAAGAAAGCAGATATTGACGATATTCAGCATATAGCATGGCTTCTCGAACTTTCCTGCTAACTAAAGGTGCGGTCAGATGAGCTGTTTCAATAGGAATCCACGCAACCAGGAATGGCCGAATGATTACCACACACAGATCTGGACTTCTCCAACAGAAAGCTGCTGGCTTTGAGAGAGACATTGCTACACTAGTGATGCACAGAAACTCATTCTGAAACGGCTGATTGCGCCACACTAAACAGCATCAACACCACAGTCAATTTGAAAGCACAGACATTGTATCATATCAAATGGAACAAGACCAAAAGTATTACTGGATTGTAGGTCATCAACTGAAGGCAGCGTAGACTAAAAGATCTGCTTTCATGAGAATGAAGATGCATTAGATGGAAAGCTCAACATGGCCAGCTCTGCGTCCACTAGCGCTGGACACACACCATCTCCCGATGCGACAGCAGCACGATACTCGCGTGCCGATACCAGACGGATTGCAATCTTTTTAAGAACCGCGATTCGATATTGCAATTTTTGTAACACTAGACCATGGGGAAAAGCTACATCATACACTTATACAGACTGTGCTGATGTATAAGAGGAGTCATATTTACAAAAACAAAATGTATTTCAGAAGCATCTGGATACTACATTCAATACAATACAATACTACATTCTCTTGAATAAATGATTCAAAAACAAATAAATTTTTTAACAGTCACTTGTCGACACTTGGCGAAACAATGTAATCGATAAATGCGTTATTTTAAGCGCCACGTTTCTATCCAAAGCTGATTTTGATCGCTATCGTAGACATCAGTGTCATATTTGAACTTTTAACCTTTATCCCAGTCCTTCTATGATCATTTGAACAACGGCATCACAGAAATAATGAGACTATGGGGTGGAAAAGGCTGTTTGTGAAGCGGTTTCATGACGACACAGATCTGAATGTTGCGATTAGATTCGGTCAAAGTTTAATAGACAGACGAATTGAAAGAAGATCGTGTGTGTGTTTGAATGGAGATCACAGTGTTTTAAAGAGGACTGTCTTATCTCTCTCTCAGCATATGAGCTCAGTCTCTTCCACTTGGGATATTACGACACTCAACACTCATAGGTAACGAGTAACGACACGTTTCATCCTCTGTTGGAACGGAAGTGGCAAACTTCTGTCAACCTCGTCTACAAGCAAGGACAAAAATAAAGCAATTGCATTTGAATTGATATCATTTCTGGAATAAAAAAAGAGATTTTTTTTCGTAAAAATTGTAAAAAAAATCAAAAAATCAAAAAATTAATCGCGATAGCTAGGAAACCGATTTATTCTCCGAGCCCTAGCATCCACACAGCTGATGTAGCGCATCTACGTTGTGTAGGGGTGGGGGAAAAAATCGATTCTTAGATGCATCGCGATGCGGACGTGGACGATTCTGAATCGATTCACAATTGTCAAAAATCGATTTTCAAAAAAAAAAAAAAATTTTTAGATATATATTTATAATAACGTAATATTGACGGAACGCGAAAGACGGAACTCTGAAGCGCGGAAGTGCAGTGGCCGGACCGTCTGTGGCGTGCACATAACAGACGCGGATGCGATGGCTGAGCGCCAAATCCAAACACCCTCCTCGTTAAAAGCTGACGTGTGGAAATATTTTGGCTTCTGAAGTTGAAGGGGGAAAGGAGCTGGACAAGAGCCACACTAGTTGTAAGCTTTGTAGAGTAAAACTAAAATATTTCGGAAACAAGACACATGAAGCCAAATGACACGTTTCCAGCCAGAGGAGGAAAAACACTCGGCTGTAACGTTACCGGTCGTTGTTATATTATTAATTTACTACAAAAAAATGCTGCTGCTAGTTCAGACACACATGTATTTTCCTGTTGGTTATTTGCAATGTTAATAAAATATATTGTACGCTAATTCTTTATGGGTCATTACTTTGTACTTTTAAAGCAAAGTATTTATAGTCACACACACACAAAAAAAAGATTCTGATAATCGATTTAGCATCGAATCGCAGCCCTCTGAATCGTAATCGAATCGAATCGTGAGGTGCCTAGAGATTCCCACCCCTAACGTTGTGTGGACAAATAAGGCAGACAGTGAAACCGTGCCATTAGAGAAGCGCTAATGAGACGTCACCGCTTCGGTCAATCGTTTCGGCCCTCCAAAACAGGTTCAGCCACATCTCTTCGGTTGGTGACATGTCGGTGCATCACTACAACAGACAGTGGAACATCGCCCGCTTATGTTACAGCATGCTAACAGTGTTTAACAGTTAGTGGGTCGCACCTGTTGTAAACGGGAACTTCCAAACCCAGCTCCTCCATGAGGAGACCCATCACTGCGTCACACTTCCCATGGATCTTCAGAGTGGCCAAGCTATCTTTCGGCGTCCACTAACATAAACGAGGAGAACACACCAAGCTGTTAAATCATGTAATCAGAGATTATGAGCAGTTTATGGAGGAAGATGTACCTGGAGATTCACGATGTACAGCTTTGGCCTTTTGTTGGCGGGTCTGTTCATGCACCACAAGCAGGAGTACTTCTTCAGCACCTGATGGACACACACACATCAAATCAAGCAGCGCCATTTAATATAACACACATGCATTTCGACAAATGTTGCGACTACATGATAGATGTTGCGTTAACATCTTTTACTGCTTACAGTGGATATAAAACATCTATTATGATGTAAACACTGAAACAAAGATAATGAGATTTGATCACAGCACTCAGTGTGTGTTTGGATAGGAGTGTTTCAGCCCATCTCGACGACTCTTTGCTCAAAGCCTCCAGATCTGTATCTGTATCATGTGTGAATGTCGTATTATGAACCTTAACAAATGTTCTAAAATGATTTATCTTGGTTTCATTTTTTACATCACAAAAAAAGCTGTCTTAACAGATGTTTTATATCCAGTGTAGGCTAAGATAACAAGGAAAAATATCAAGCAATGCCTCCAAACAATGTCATGCTTTATCCATGTGCAGCAACCAGACGCGCCGCGACACAAGGCGCCTTTTCCATGCTAATCACAGTTTCTGTGCTAACCACGACACAAGGCTCCTTTTCCATGCTCATCAGAGTTTCTGTGCTAACCCGACACGCCGCGACACACGCCGATTCTATTTTAGAAACGGTTTCTATTTTTCCGCGACGTCGCGCTGGATCAACAAACACAAAGTGCGGCAATGATAATCTCAGGTGCTGTTTATGTGCTTTATTTAATGTTAAAAGCGTCTGTGTGAGTTTGAATATCATTTTGTGTCTTTTATAGCCGCATGCAACAATGGACAATACCTCATATCTTCAAAATAAATAAAAGTAAACGAGAACGTTCAAACTGTCAAATTGTTAAAGCAACAACAAGTAACTTTTCCTCTGCGGTCGCCCTACAGGTTGGAAGCGGAATTGTCCATTACCACTGTTGTAAATAATTTAGCCTAGCGCATCCGACTGTCGCACGCACGCTCGCTGTTTATCCAGCACCGGCTTTGGAATGAACGATGTCCACAGACAAGGTAGAGTATGATGCATGATTTCATGAAAGTATGATGTATTGCGACATCAGAAACGAAGAAAAACTAAATAATGACTATTGTAACGCTTGACGTAAAGCAAGTCAAATTTGTAGTTTTCTAATGTCTCATTAGACTTGATAAACCACTGAAACATTTTGGAAACATTATTTTAAGGTAAAAAATCTTACCTAGTGTTGCTTTAACAGACAAGTGTATTCTATGACAAGATTGTTTCAGTAGCTCAGTATGTATTTTTAATAATGTTAAAATGGTGTAATATTCATAAATTTGATTATGTGCTTCTCCGTTTAGTTGCGAGTGCCGGGAGCTTGCCGAGAGAGCCCACACACACACTCACTCGCGCTCTTCTGATTGGCTGTGTTTTTATCGCAGACTCTACCGTGTGTGTGTCTGGTGTGGACAGGCGCATGATTGGAATCGCGTGGCGTGTGGTTAGGCTCGGTGTGAGACTCGACGCGCGCACCTTGAGACTGGAGCCGAGGCAGAGGATGAGGTCGGCCCGCTGCGCCGCCTGCGCCGCCCCGCTCCAGTTCAGCGGCTGCTCCAGGGTCCCGCGCTCCCCGAAGTGCACGATGGTGTCCCTCAGCTCCCCCCCGCAGTGAGGACACCGGCGGCCCGTGCCGTGCCTGTGCAGAGCCGTGCGCTCCGTCACGTCAAACACACGGATCAGCTCCCGCGCCGGGCAGCAGGAGGAGCACACCTGTGGGACACGGGAACACCACGGGGAAACATGAAAATGAGTCTGATATCACAGGAACGGATTGTAAATCACATTTTTCTAAACTCTAAAACAGGAAAATTCAGATTTTGAGATCTTTATGCTACCCTTTAAAACGAGTGAATCCAGACAAATGTGACCCTGGACCACAAAACCAGTCACAAGGGTCAATTTTGTGACATTGAGATTTATGAATCTGAAAGCTGAATAAATAAGCTTTCCATTGATGTATGGTTTGTTAGGATGTATATTTGGCCGAGATACAACTATTGGAAAATATGGAATCTGAGGGTGCAAAAAAAAAAAATCAAAACATTGAGAAAATCGCCTTTATAGTTGTGCATTTATGCTCATGATTGCATTCACTCACAAATTTTTATTTATTTTATATATACACTCACCTAAAGGATTATTAGGAACACCATACTAATACTGTGTTTGACCCCCTTTCGCCTTCAGAACTGCCTTAATTCTACGTGGCATTGATTCAACAAGGTGCTGAAAACATTCGTTAGAAATGTTGGGCCATATTGATAGGATAGCATCTTGCAGTTGATGGAGATTTGTGGGATGCACATCCAGGGCACAAAGCTCCCGTTCCACCACATCCCAAAGATGCTCTATTGGGTTGAGATCTGGTGACTGTGGAGGCCATTTTAGTACAGTGAACTCATTGTCATGTTCAAGAAACCAATTTGAAATGATTAGAGCTTTGTGACATGGTGGAAGTAGCCATCAGAGGATGGGTACATGGTGGCCATAAAGGGATGGACATGGTCAGAAACAATGCTCAGGTAGGCCGTGGCATTTAAACGATGCCCAATTGGCACTAAGGGGCCTAAAGTGTGCCAAGAAAACATCCCCCACACCATTACACCACCACCACCAGCCTGCACAGTGGTAACAAGGCATGATGGATCCATGTTCTCATTCGGTTTACGCCAAATTCTGACTCTAACATCTGAATGTCTCAACAGAAATCGAGACTCATCAGACCAGGCAACATTTTTCCAGTCTTCAACTGTCCAATTTTGGTGAGCTCTTGCAAATTGTAGCCTCTTTTTCCTATTTGTAGTGGAGATGAGTGGTACCCGGTGGGGTCTTCTGCTGTTGTAGCCCATCCGCCTCAAGGTTGTGCGTGTTGTGGCTTCACAAATGCTTTGCTGCATACCTCGGTTGTAACGAGTGGTTATTTCAGTCAAAGTTGCTCTTCTATCAGCTTGAATCAGTCGGCCCATTCTCCTCTGACCTCTGGCATCAACAAGGCATTTTCGCCCACAGGACTGCCGCAAACTGGATGTTTTTCCCTTTTCACACCCCTAAATACATTGAAGCAACTGCCATGTGATTGGTTGATTAGATAATTGCATTAATGAGAAATTGAACAGGTGTTCCTAATAATCCTTCAGGTGAGTGTATATATTTACGGTAGGAAATGTACAAAATATCTTCATGGAACATAATCTTTACTTGATTTTGATTTTTGGCATAAAAGAAAAATGGATAATTTTGACCCATACAGTGTATTGTTGGCTATCGCCACACATAAACCCGTGCGACTCGAGACTGGTGTTGTGGTCCAGGGCCACATGTGAACTGAATTTATGGCTGATCTGAAACGTCAGAGCTGTGCCTGACCTCGATGAACATGTTCCCGTGGAGTTCAGAGAGAGCGTGTCTGGGCAAGCCACTGCGCAGGTGAAGACCGTCACAGTTCTGCGAGACCACGTGCTGAACCTGCACACACACACACACACACACACACACACTCAAGCCAAGCGGATTCGTAAAGCGCTTTTCAAAATACACACGGTTTACAAGCAGCTTCAAAAGAAAATCATGATGTTTATAATATCTTCATGTCACATTTAAAGCTGGGCAATAATATGGTTTATATTTTGCGACAATAAAAGTTAAGTAGTTGAGATTCGCTATATAGTATATATAAGCCAACATGAGTCGGCATTCGTATCTAACAAACTTTCTGTACAGATATGTGTGATAATACAGTTTTCCTTGTGTGTGTACGTGAGTGCATGCAGGTAAAGTACGATGTACTACAAATCCACTTTTTAATATTTAATATGATACGGTTTAAGCCAAGCTTTGCTATTGTCCTGCTTAACATGAGTGTATCAGGGTATTCTGCGAATACACAGACACTGTGTCGTCACGCACCATCTTCTCTTTGTGTAGCAGCCAGAGGCACATGTGTGTGAGCGTGGGCTCAGCTCGACTCAGATCTGATGTGCTGCGGACACACACACACACAGATGAGGTTAACATGTGGCAGCAGGAGGAGTAAATGCAAGCGTAGTTAGACCTGAGAGCACCTGACGGAGCGGCCCCGCTGCAGCTGAGTCCACACGCCGTTCGGCCCGCGGTAGTCCGGGATCGAGGCGGCCTGAGGAACACACAGCACACACACTTACTGAGAACCAGGAAACAACACACAGATGGAAGATAACAGATATATATCTATCCTATACGACTCATCCAGAGCCGAGGAGTGTTCGTGTGCAGGTGTTCGGGGAATCAGCCCAAAATCAGACAAAACATCAGTGTGTGTGTCAACACCTTCCCCATGAGATCAAAACGTCAATTTCACCGTTGTCCACACATGAAAATGCAGGGATATCACTGTGGGTTGGGGTTTCATCGAGACGAAGCCAAGGGCAACTACGGCAAGCAAACCCGAACCCTCTGATGGTGAATAAAGGAAAACATGCAATAATGGAGGAGCCAGACCTGACCAGGAGGCCCGTGTCCTCCACAGTTACAATATGACATTACTTACACAGCTAATAATTAATAGCTTTGTAACTATATATATATATATATATATATATATATGACTGAACTGTAAGATTAAGCTACGATTGTCACAACTCGTTAGTAAGGGAATGTTAGGAAATAATTTAAAAGTTTTTTTTTAAATATATAAATGAAACTTATCCAAAACAATAAAATTCACTCCAGAATGCAAGGAATACTTCAGATGTGTGAACAGGTTCCCAGGGGTTTTTAGGCGTATGAAAACCTGTCAAAATCATGTTTCCGCATAAATAGTATCATAAAGTCCTAATAATAAATCGACCATTTCAAGGAATGTGTCTTACTCCAGGTACTAGTAAATGACTGTGTGTGTATATGTGCTTGTAAATGACTGCAGTGTGTGTGTATGTACTTGTAAATGACTGCACTGTGTGTGTGTGTAGTTTTACACTCGATGAAACCACAGGAGTGTGTGCAGTGATCATCATGTCATCATTCTGCTCTGGGTTTCTGATTCCCGCTCTACATGTCCTTGCGTTCACACAAGAGCTCTTTGAAACACTCCTGTACGCTAGGAGACATGGATCCTCTTCCTCCATCTTTACAGCAAGCGCGGGACAGGCCGAACACAAGGACGTTCTCACGAGAGAGAGGCGTACCGTGCTGATCCCTGCCCCGGTGTACACCACCACATGCTGCGCCTGCTGGAGCGCCTCCGCCAGCTGCTTCACCTTCCTCTGCAGGCTCTCGGCCTCGTCAAACACCTGCACACACACACACACACACACCAGCCTCGTCAAACACCTGCACACACACACACCAGCCTCGTCAAACACCTGCACACACACACCAGCCTCGTCAAACACCTGCACACACACACACCAGCCTCGTCAAACACCTGCACACACACACCAGCCTCGTCAAACACCTGCACACACACACACACACACCAGCCTCGTCAAACACCTGCACACACACACACCAGCCTCGTCAGCAGCACACACACACAAGCCTCGTCAACAACACACACACACTCATGATGTGACAGATCCTAATCAGGCTGAACATGCTGAATATTGTGTGTGTGTGTGTGTGTGTGAGAGCGGATGAAGACGAGTGGAGACTGAGGTGAGCTGTATAGTGTGTGTGTGTGAATGGATGATCAAGAGGAGGAGTGTGTGTGAGCGGATGATGAAGAGGAGTGTGTGTGTGAGCTGTATAGTGTGTGTGTGTGGATGATGAAGAGGAGGAGTGTGTGTGAGCTGTATAGTGTGTGTGTGTGTGAGCAGATGATGAAGAGGAGTGTGTGTGAGCTGTATAGTGTGTGTGTGAGCGGATGATGAAGAGGACTGTGTGTGAGCTGTATAGTGTGTGTGAGCGGATGAAGAGGAGGAGTGTGTGTGAGCTGTATAGTGTGTGTGTGTGAGCTGTATAGTGTGTGTGTGTGAGCTGTACCTCCTCTAGTTTGCTCTGCAGGAGGCGTCTCCGGCTCTGTCTGCGGCTCAGCTCCTGAACTGTGTCCTGATGATCCTGTAGAAGCCTTCGCTCCTCCTGCGTCTGCTCTCCAGCACTCTTCTGCAGGATCTGAGAGATCTACACACACACACACACACCTCTTACCTGATGCTTTACATGATTCAGCTGTTCTGTTGACACTGACTCAAAGGCCCGTGACCAGTTTCACAAACAGAGGTCTGTTTTCTTGCAACTGGTCAGTGCTTTAACAGCTACACTTACACTAACTGTTACTACGGCAACGTCATGAATAACATGACATCTCCTGGAAACACTGCAAGAAGACTTCGAAATCTTGCTTTCATTTGGACTCTTTCGTGGCACCAAATCATCAGTTTGGTCGAAACTACGATGTTTGTAGGGTTTTAACTGAGTTAATTGGCTAGTTTTACAGGTGTTCTGCTGAATAAAGCTACACATAACATTATGCTTTCAAATATATTTGCATTGTTTTAAAGGTAGGGGAAGGTGTGGCCGTTAATAAAGCCTCAAACCATATGAATATGATGCTGGCAACCTTAGCATTTTCACCGGCTGTACCGCTTTATTTGTGTTTCGAGTCGCTACCGTCTGTGCTCATGTGAATGAGATGAATAAGATGATATCTGGTGTTCATACCGTCTTGACCGTGTGTCGCTGTTTCTCTCGCTGGATGATCTTCTCCTTTTCTCGCTCTTTTCTCTCCGCTCGCGCTGAGCCAACGCTGTTTGTTTGCGCGTCCATGTTGGACATCGTCACCGATGACGTCACCCCTCTCGTCGTTATCGCGAGGTAAAAAACAAAGTTTTTTTTCTACCGTGTCGGAGAAAAAAAGTGTATTTAATCATTTTAATTCATATATTTTAATTAATTAATTTAATTAATTAATTAATAAATATATTTATTTATTTATTTCCCGCCCTGGTCAAACTAGCTGTTTAGCTGGGTGGCTCTCAGCTTAAGTAGACGAAATAATCATATAAAAGGTTAAAAAAAACATTTTATATATAAACAGAAATTTACATATTATATATATAAACATACAACAATTATTTGAAATATTTGATGTGCGTTTGCGTCAAAAGTTGGCTCATGCACTGTTACCAGCAGGTGGCGGTAAAGCGTTATTCCTCCACTGCGATCCACTGCTACCATAAAGAAGAAGAAGAAGAAGAAACGGGTTTCCGGTTTGTCCATGCTGATTCGAAAAACACAAAAATTCAGCTTCTCTGATTCTGAATTTATTTTATTCATTTCAACATGTCCATTAAATTAAACGCTCTTTACAGCGACTCATATGTGGATATAAGCCAGTACAGAGACCAACATTTTAAGGTGAGTGTAATACATGCATGCTATTTTTTGAGGATTACTCTTTCCTTTTGAAAAGGACACATACAACACTGTGCAGAATCGCAGTGGTTGTGCAAATGAAGCAGTGCAGCTGGATTCAGTGTACTTGTTTCTCTAAATCAATATTTATATTTTTATTCAAATAAATAAAATATTTGATTATGCATTCAAACATACGGTTCCCTGTTAAAACAGTATGTTAGAGACAAGGTTTTTAAAATTATTATTATTATTGAGCTAATACTACTCGTGACATATATATATTCTTCTCACCAAAGGTTTTTTTTTTTTTTTGTGATAAAGTCAAAAACTGTAATATTGTGAAATATTGTTACAATTTAAGTGAACTGTTTTCTATGTGAATATATAGTAAAGTGTAATGTATTCCTGTGATCAAAGCTGGATTTCAGCATCATTACTCCAGTCTTTTCTGATTATTATCGGTGTTGAAAACAGTTGTGCGGCGTAATCATTTTGTAAATTGCTATAGTGTCTTTTTCTGGGATTTTTTTAATATAAACAACATTTATCAGAAACATAAATATTTTGTAGAATCAAGTATTTACTGTCATTTTTGATCAATTTAGAGTGTCCTCGCTGTGTAACAGTATTGATGTCCTCACTGAAAGGGCATTAGAGTGTCCCGAAGCTGTGAAGCAGAGCTGTGTGTCTGTGCTCGCTCATATTAAAGCATTAGTTCACCTCAAAATGAAAATGTCCTGATAATTTACTCGCCCCAATGCCATTCAAGATGTTCATGTCTTCCTTTCTTCAGTGGAAAAGAAATTAAGTTTGAGGAAACCATTTCAGGATTTTTCTAATCCTTTAACGCCTCTCTCACCGCAGGGTAACCGCTACGAGCAGGAGAAGCTGCTGAAGCAGAGCTCGACGCTGTACGTGGGGAACCTGTCCTTCTACACCACAGAGGAGCAGGTGTACGAGCTCTTCGCCAAGAGTGGAGACGTCAAGAGGATCGTCATCGGCCTCGACAAGGTCAAGAAGACCGCCTGTGGCTTCTGTTTCGTCGAGTATCCTTTCCATTCACAACCAGCGCTGGCATAATGTCATAACATGTGAGCCTTAAAGGGATAGTTCACCCAAAAAGGAAGATTAGCCCATGATTTACTCACCCTGAAGCCGTCCTAGGTGCATATGACTTTCTTCTTTCAGACGAATTCAATCAGAGTTATATTAAAAAATGTCCTGGCTCTTCCAAGCTTTATAATGGCAGTGAATGGGCACTATTTTCTGAAGTCATAAAAGTGCATCTATTCATGATAAAAGTGCATCTATCCATCATAAAAGTGCGTCTATTCATGATAAAAGTGCATCTATCCATCATAAAAGTGCGTCTATTCATGATAAAAGTGCGTCTATCCATCATAAAAGTGCGTCTATTCATGATAAAAGTGCGTCTATCCATCATAAAAGTGCGTCTATTCATGATAAAAGTGCGTCTATTCATGATAAAAGTGCATCTATTCATGATAAAAGTGCGTCTATTCATGATAAAAGTGCATCTATCCATCATAAAAGTGCATCTATCCATAAAAAAAATGCATCTATCCATCATAAAAGTGCATCTATCCATGATAAAAGTGCATCTATCCATCATAAAAGTGCATCTATCCATCATAAAAGTGCATCTATCCATGATAAAAGTGCATCTATCCATGATAAAAGTGCATCTGTCCATGATAAAAGTGCATCTATCCATGATAAAAGTGCATCTATCCATCATAAAAGTGCATCTATCCATGATAAAAGTGCATCTGTCCACGATAAAAGTGCATCTGTCCATGATAAAAGTGCATCTATCCATGATAAAAGTGCATCTCTCCACGATAAAAGTGCATCTATCCATGATAAAAGTGCATCTATCCATGATAAAAGTGCATCTATCCATGATAAAAGTGCATCTATCCATGATAAAAGTGCATCTCTCCACGATAAAAGTGCATCTATCCATGATAAAAGTGCATCTATCCATGATAAAAGTGCATCTATCCATGATAAAAGTGTATCTATCATGATAAAAGTGTATCTATCCATGATAAAAGTGCTCCACACAGTCCACAGGCTCTGGGGTATTCTGGGGTTTATAAAGGCCTTCTGAAGCGAAGCAATGTGTTTGTGTAAGAAAAATATCCATATTTAAAACTTTATTGCCTAAAATAAGTAGCTTCCGGCAAAAAATAGTGCCCATTCACTGCCATTATAACGCTTGGAAGAGCCAGGACATTTTTCAATATAACTCTGATTGTATTCGTCTGAAAGAAGAAAGTCATATACACCTAGGACGGCTTCAGGGTAAACCATGGGCCAATCTTCATTTTTGGGTCACTAAGACCGACAGAAAATGTAAAGTTGCGATTTTCTAGGCTGATATGGCTAGGAACTATACTCTCATTCCTGCGTAATAATCAAGAAACTTCACTGCCGTACCATGAGTGCAGCAGGCGCAGGCACTTAGTCCCGGTCACGTTGGAAGTTACCGAGCTGGGGACTATTTTCAGGCGCTGCGTCATATCATTACGCCTGCTGCACTCATGGTACGGCAGTGAAGTTTCTTGATTATTACGCAGGAATGAGAGTATAGTTCCTAGCCATATCAGCCTAGAAAATCGCAACTTTACATTTTCCGTCGGTCTTAGTGCACGATGTAACTACAGAAGAGTCAAGTTTTAAATAGGAAAAATATCGAAACTCTTTGGTCATTTTTTAATGAGAAATGCTAATGGTCTTGTCCACTTCAATGATGTATGCTAAGCTATGCTAAAAGTGGTACCGCCAGAACCGGAGATCGGCTGAATGGATTCAAAAACGGTAAAACTCAACAGTTTAACTCTGGGGGAGTTGTAAAATAAGCCTATTTTCAAAAAAAGTGGAGTATCCCTTTAAGGCCTGTTCACACTGAGAACAATAACTATAAAGAGAACTATAACGATAGATGTTTTCAGCTCTGAAACTTGCAGGATGTTTTAATGGTTCAGAGACCTCTTATATGCCAAAAGTTCACAGAAAATGCGATGTCTTATGTCATGACCCCTTTTAATACATGGGTGCGCTTTCTTATCAGTGTTGGAGATTAGAGCACAGTAATCTAACTGATATCAAAATCTTGATCTGAGACGTGTCAGTCCTTTAACTGCTGATGTGAAGGTATTACACGCGAGCCGACGCGGAGAACGCCATGAGGTTTGTGAACGGCACGAGGCTGGATGACCGGATCATCCGCACGGACTGGGACGCGGGCTTTAAAGAGGGCCGGCAGTACGGCCGGGGCAAGTCCGGCGGCCAGGTACGGCCATCAGGACATATAATCATCACTATAATCACAATAACTACCGCATTCATATTTCAGGAATATTGTTTCCTATGGAGCCCCTAAAGGGAAAATATGAAACGGGAGGAAAACATACAATTCTATGCTTTTGCGTTCTGTGCGAGCGAATGCAGTCTCGGGGAACGCAAACACTAGTGAGAGAAGGAAAGCCCTCCTCATGGCCCTTCAGGCGCTCCGTAGGCTTTTAGATTTGTGTTCTAGCAAAGACGTCCTGACACCACTTCATGCTTCCGTTCGGGACTCTGCTCTTTTTTCAAGCCTTTCAGTGTCAGTCATTTTTCTATTAAATTGAACACAAATTAAACGTGTATTATGCCCCCCTGTGGGGCTCCACTGTACATGTGTTATTCAGTGCTCCTGTCACCAGCCCGTGTGTGTGTGTGTGTGTGTGTGTGTGTGTGTGTGTGTGTGTGTGCAGGTGCGGGATGAGTACAGGCAGGACTACGACCCCGCCAGAGGGGGTTATGGGAAGCTGGTGCAGAAAGCCTGAACAGGATCATGACCCGACCGGAGGCTGCCAGCGCTGGGATGTGTGTGTGTGATGTACATATTAGAGTTTAGTGCTGTATGAATGTCCATGCCTGAAATTCATCTAGTCTGGCATTTGTAGTTATTCTTTTTTGTTTTTTAAATAAATGCTTTTTTATAAACTTTGCCTTGTGTTTAGATGAAGCCAGTGTCATGCAAACTCTCGTGATTCCCAGTCTGGTCATCACGACTGGAACACAAACCAGTGAACGTCCAGATTGTGTTGGTGCCGCAATAATCAGCACTGATGTTAAAATTCATCATTTTGGACCGTAATAACTGCACAACTCGGCATCACTCAGTCATTAATGTGTTATCGAGCTGCACGATTCAAACAGGCGTTCGTATTCTTATTCCTAAATGACATGATTCCTCTGTCTTTTAAACAGAAACGGCTTCATTATTCCTGTCTTACAGTGATTTATATGATCACAGAAGTTCTGGAAGGAAAGTTTATAGTTCAGATATAAACACTGATGTCTAGGATAGCGATCAAATCAGCTTTTGAAAGTAACATGCCGCTTCGAATAAAGACTGTATCGTCACAGCAGAAGGTGGAGACCACACGGTTTGTCTTCGAATCGCTCCAGATCCTCCAGAAACACTGGTTCCTCCAGTAATGCACTCGTGAAGGCCAGGTTCTGTCAGAACCGCTAGTGAATTACTGGTTATTTTGTTTGGTTGTCTGTTCAGAATCATAGGGGAATCGTGATCTTTATTTGAAACACATTTAGTGTTAAGCTGCATGATTCTGGATAAATTGAAAATTGCCATTTTGTAAGCAAAATCTTTAAGCTATTAGCCGTTCTGCTGTATATAAAACTATTTAATTACTGAAAAGGACGATTCAAAACCATTAAAATTTTAGTAACAGGGTTGCAAAAATTGAAAGCGTATTTACACAGACCATATTTACACACAATAACAGACACAGAACTGGTTATTAAACATGTATTTTTAAATAATGATGAAACTAGTAGTCAGAAACTCCGTCTGAGGTTATGATTTGTTGGTAGATTTCAAGTAACTAAAATTACAGTATCGCTCTTGAATGATGGGATCACTGACAAAAGTATAAAGCTACTATTCAGACATTTTTGTACCAAACTGCATCAAGGTAGAAAAGGCTCCTCACACAGAACTGATGATGATGATGATGTGGCGGTCTGGAGATCAGCGTTTGCTTTATCCGTCTCAGATGATTTCTTCACGATTAAGAAAAAGAAGAGTATATAAATAAAAGGCAGAAACCTGCAGCTTTCACTGCAACAAACTCTGTGCTCATTTTAAAAATGACCTTTAACTGACTTCAATTAATGACAAATCTACATGCTACAAAACCATTTGATCCGCTGACACATTTTAGAAAACAACGGAAAGTGCTCAGAAGTGAGAGAACAGCAGTTTGCAACAGAACGGTCAAATAATGCCGGTGGCGTACAGCAAGCAGCCGATCCTGAGGCTCTGCATTAAAACCACAGGACATCGGGGAACGTAGTTTGAAGTTGATCAAATGTTAACAAAGCAAAATCTGGTCCAGGACTTCAGGTATCGCAACAAAATTTGCTTTCAAGTTACAAGCTTGACTGTACAAGTATAATTCTCATGTTTAACAGTACATTCATTAAGAGCCTTTATAAAAGCGTCTTGTACCTCAACAGCGGCGGGACATTTATACTCTAGGAAAGGCCTTCAAGTTTCATGCTGCAAAGCAAAAAACTAAAAGAAACCTGATAGAAACACGTAGTCTGTGTCATGGCTGTGTTATAAGATGCAAGGATGAATGATGTTTTAAAATAAGTAAAAAATAATAATATCCACACGCTTGTGAGGTCTTGAATCTTTGTGGTTGCCAGTTAACGATTTCTCCATCGCGGAGGGTTTTCTCGTTCGTGAACATCCACTTGTTCTCTGAGAAGCGGTCACAGCCGCCGTTGAACTCGAGGTTGAGGACGCTGGGTAAAGGCATGTCTGCACTGCCGATGTCAAGCGAAGAGGTAAACGCAACCCGAAAGAAGTCCAGCAAGCCTCTCCGGTGTTTCGGCAGGCTCATATATTGGGAATCTCCAGCTTTGCCTGATCAGAGCTTTGGATGTGTTTGTCTTGCACTGAAGCCAGTTCCTGCGTGCCGTTCCTCATCCAGACGCGAGTCCGAGTCTTCAGGTCTGTGTGGGTTTGTCTGGGCTCGAGCAGTCAGACAGTGTGCAGTCGCAGAGCTCTCTGTAGATCCTCTTGCGGACGCGTGGCATGTCCTCTTGAGTGAACAGCAGCGGCTTCAGGAACGCCAGGCACTTGCAGTACTGCAGGATCAAAAAGAGGTTCAGTTTGATCATATAGATTGGGGGTAGGCACCATAACCAAAATCTCATGGTATGTTGAGTAATTTCATAATAGATAAAAATAAATACTTTACAAAACCCCCTACTCTAAGCTTAAAGTATACTCCTGGTGACGTGTATGCATTCACAGGCGCTCAACAACTCGCCCTGCCCCTCCTAGTCTACAGTTATAACCCATATACGTACATATCTTTATCATCTTTTAGGCTGGAGTACAAATGCAGATATTTTCTAACGTCCTCGCCCAATCTCTCATCCACATAGCAATCCACTGTTGTTGTAGCTTGCATGGGTTGTGGACCCTACCGTACAGTTAAAAAGGGTCCACAACCAAGGGGTCACACCAGCTGTTTTTTGGTTTTAAGTGTCCTTGTATATATATGTTTTTTTTATATTTACTTGTATGCAGTGTGTAATAGAGCTGTTTGTGAATTTAAAAGCTCTGCAAAGTTTTAAAGATCACAGTGCAGATAGTTAAAGACACTGTCTCCTAAAAGACAGAAGTGATTCTGAACTGAAACGAGTCGTCAGTAATACAGTCTCCCTTCCTGAACCTGTGTAACAGTGCAACACATTTGCATAACGCCCATCTGTGGTCTTGATTGGCTGCCCGCGAACGACGCCTCCTGCAAACCCTGTAGTTGTAGCTGAGACTGCAAAATGCAAATCCACTTTGCATGAACTTCAACAGGATGAGATTGATACATTAAAAATGTTATTATTTTTTCTGTTCGTATCACTGTATATCAAGTGCTAAGGACAATCCAGAGCTGAAATTCAGATATGGTAACGGACGTAACCAATCAGAGCAGAGTGGGCCATCTGACCAATCAGAGCAGAGTAGACCAATCACAACAGACTGGGTCATCTGACCAATCAGAGCAGAGTAGACCAATCACAACAGACTGGGTCATCTGACCAATCAGAGCAGAGTAGACCAATCACAACAGACTGGATCATCTGACCAATCAGAGCAGAGTAGACCAATGACAACAGACTGGGCCATCTGACCAATCAGAGCAGAGTAGACCAATGACAACAGACTGGATCATCTGACCAATCAGAGCAGAGTAGACCAATGACAACAGACTGGGCCATCTGACCAATCAGAGCAGAGTAGACCAATGACAACAGACTGGATCATCTGACCAATCAGAGCAGAGTAGACCAATGACAACAGACTGGGTCATCTGACCAATCAGAGCAGAGTGGGCCATCTGACCAATCAGAGCAGAGTAGACCAATCACAACAGACTGGGTCATCTGACCAATCAGAGCAGAGTAGACCAATTACAACAGACTGGGTCATCTGACCAATCCGAGCAGAGTAGACCAATCACAACAGACTGGGTCATCTGACCAATCAGAGCAGAGTAGACTAATGACAACAGACTGGATCATCTGACCAATCAGAGCAGAGTAGACCAATGACAACAGACTGGGCCATCTGACCAATCAGAGCAGAGTAGACCAATGACAACAGACTGGATCATCTGACCAATCAGAGCAGAGTAGACCAATGACAACAGACTGGGTCATCTGACCAATCAGAGCAGAGTAGACCAATGACAACAGACTGGGTCATCTGACCAATCAGAGCAGAGTAGACCAATCACAACAGACTGGGCCATCTGACCAATCAGAGCAGAGTAGACCAATGACAACAGACTGGGTCATCTGACCAATCAGAGCAGAGTAGACCAATGACAACAGACTGGGTCATCTGACAGAGCAGAGTAGACCAATCACAACAGACTGGGTCATCTGACCAATCAGAGCAGAGTAGACTCAGAGACAGAATAAGCTTAAATTGAATATATCATCATCCCACCCAGCTCTACTGTAGCAAACATTTACCTCCAAGACAAAAACCCCACAGTCGTTGTCGTTCTTCTGCTGTGGAATGGTCTGTGGAGAGAACAAACAAAGATGAATGTGGAGAGCAAGCAGAGATAAAGCTCTCGCCAGAACATCAGAAAACGGTTCAGTTGAGCTCTCGTTGCAGACCTTGTTGACGACCATCTTCCAGCCCTTCTGAAAGCCCAGTTGCTTCTTCTCCTTGGCTTCTGCCAGGATGTATTTCAGGACGTTCTGTGGAAAGAGTCGCACGTCAGCTCGATGCGAGGACTCCTATCTAAATCACACTGCAAACGCACTCACGTCCACAGCGAACTTGAAGAGGATGCCCTGCGAGTCGTAGAAGTTGATGTTCTGCTTGGAGACGTCCACGGTGATGAGCGACCAGTGGATCTCCAGGTGAAGAGGAATCAGAATCAGAGTCTTAGAAAACAGATCAACCTGAGGACATTAAGACAGAAGACATCACACACTCTCCATCGCCTCGTGTGCAGGAGCAGTGGCATAAAGCTGAGACGTGTGTGTCCCTGCAAGGGAAGTCCACAGCCTCCGATGCCGTTCCCTTTCCATTTGTTGAAAAAAGAGCAATCATTTGACTTGTAGGAAATGTAGAGACTCGATATCGAGCACTAAACAAAAACATTTGTGTTCAGATTCTATCATGTGATGTTTCTGCAAGCGGTGACATTTACCTTTTTGGTCCACCGCCTCACGCCTTCATAACCTTTTGCTACAAACTGCCGGTAAAAAAAACTGTTGAAGAAATGAACCTAGAAAAGGACAGATAAACAATGGCCGTTCATGTTGAGGGGAATTATGGGGATTCATTTGCAACATTAGAGTGCAATTTCAAAAGGTTTGGTTTTTAAACAGACTGAAAGCCAGAAGCCATCATTATTATTCCGTTTAGTTTTCTGTTGGCATCACTGTCTCGCCTCTAGAAGCCGCCCCTGTGTTAGTGTTGGTCGTGTGAATCCGCCGCACTGATCAGGAAAGCTGACAGTGTGTGCTTCTTACACCCCTACACTACACACATCATTTCTGCCAGCCAAATCGCCCGAATATCGCTAACTAGACTAAATGCACTTTAAGTCACACTCTCAGTTAATGTTGAGTAATGTACATTCTGGACTCCATATTGTCAGCTAATTTAGCTATTTTGGCTCCGACAATGGAAAAAAACATTGTACATCTCAGAGCAACACACTAAAGGTGTTTTATTCCTGAACAAATGTGTGTTTTTGAATGAATCGGACGAGTAAATGATTCAATGACTCAATCATAACACACTGTCTGAAATGTGTGACCGTAAGAAATATTATATTGATAATCGGCTTAAAAATACTGCGATATTATATATGATTATATTGTCGAGCCGACGACACATCAGTAAACACACACCACACACACTTTTATAGCCTATGACTATTATTAAAATGTTAAAAGTTTGATTTACTTTTATTACTTTCTGCTTAAACTAACAGAAAATATTAGTTGTCCTGTTGGTGTTGCTATTAATCTCCAATCTAAACGTTTTAGTTACTGTATGAAATGAAATGTATTGTGATAGGATAACACATTAACTGCATTAGTGCTCTGGAGAAACGAATGAATGCTTTTACCTTATGGTTTGTAGCTTCCATGATCAACTCTCCATACATGTTAATCACCTGCAACAACACACATAACAAATCCCAGTCCAGGAGATGTGCACATGCATGTTTAGACTTCTCATAAACACAGATTTAAAAGCCTACCTGATCATTGACCCAGTTTTGGTCATCGAGTGTTGAAAGGTCATCTAAGGTCAAAGTGTGCTTGTTGTAGGTCACTTGGAAGAACTGCATAGGAGCACAAGCCAGCCCAGCCCTGTACTTGGACACTTCTGCTGTGATCAGCTTCATCCTGGAGGAACACACACACACGTGAAGAGAAGCCTAAACCCTCGGACGGGGAACAGCCTGCTGGTCAACTACATCTGAGCAATCATGGAGCCACACACTCATGTTCTTTCAAACGCAAAAACTATAGTTTATCTAACATATCTAATATAATCTGACACGAAACTAACAGTGCATGAGAGGCATCTGGATTTAAACACAGTAAATCACACTTTCCCCAAATCATTGACGGCATTCGTCTAGCTCAAACATATAAAAATAATAATGAACCAAAGTTATGTGAATTTCTTTTCTTGCATTCATTGGAAAAATAAATACTACCATTTAAAAGTTTGACGTCTGTAAGAATTTTTCTCTTTCTTTTTCTATTAAGCTCTTCAAGGCTGCATTTATTTGATCAAAAATACAGCGAATTATTATTAATCTTAAAGAACTGTTTTCTATGTGAATATATAGTAAAGTGTAATTTATTCCTGAGATCAAAGCTGGATTTCTCCAGTCTTCAGTGTCACATGATCCTTCAGAAATCACTCTAATATGATGATTTGATGATCAAGAAACATTTATGATTATTATCAATGTTGAAAACAGTTGTACTGACTAATTTCAAGATACTTTGAATAAGTAGAAAGTCTTCACTGTCACTTTTGATTGGTTGATCAATTAAATGCATTCTTGCTGAAAATGATTTTTTTAACCTACTGACCCCAAACTGAAGTAGTGTAGGGATTATGGCACAATAAAGTTCCCAAATTTCGGTAACAGGCATTTGGGAAGAAGTGCAAACCAAATGCATGTGAATTATTACACTTAGTTTGACCTCCTGAGGTCATATCACATGAATTGCACTAGAGCCAGGCGTGAGCAGGGACATGTCCACGCGGGGCTCTCGAACTCGCCTGTCGCTGAGATCCGACCGAAAGATCTTGTTCAGGTGATCGAGGACATCGGCATCACTCAACGGGGCGAAGCTGGCGTATTTCCCATAGAACTGCTCGAGGAATTCTGGGAGGGAAAGAAAGCACGTTCAGTAAGAGAAACGGCACCAGATCAGCAGACGTGTGGGAGTCTCCGAACTCTACCGTGAATGCAGTCGATGATGCCCTCGGTGGTGAACTCTGCCGGAGGCGGTGCCGGCGCCGGGCCCGTCCCGCCCGTGCCGCCGGGGGGTCTGCAGTAGTGGTGGTCCCAGGACGCCTGCTTCACATGAGCGCTCCAGCTCGACGGCTCGGTCTCCATCGCATCCGGCTCTGCGCTGCTCAGGGAAGAATCCCAGGGTTTCTTCAGTGTTTGAGAAGCGCTCAGCTCTGTGGTGTCGCTGGGATGCGTATGATCACTGTTCTCCGAGCCATTCACCACGAGCGTGCTTTCACTCGCTCTCTCCGTTTGGGAGAAGTCTGGCTGTCCTCTGGGAGACGGAGCCTCCTCCATCTCAGACACAGTGCCGGCATCCACCGGGTCTAACGTCACGACCCCTGACGTGCTCACCACCTCCTCCGCCGCCACCTCTTCTTGGCTCACCACGTCCTTCTTCTTGCGTCCGCGTTTCTTGGAGACCTGCTCGTGTCCGGGCGCGTGAGGCTTCCCGTTGGGACCGCAGCAGTCGCACGTCTTCGGCACACGTTTCCTCCTGGAGCGGCCATTTTCAGGCATCTCCCCGGAGCCGGATTCTGCCCGATCGGAGCGGTTCGGTGCCGGGACCCTCATGGCAAACTCTACCCCATTCCTCCCGGGATCCTCTCCACGCTCTTCAGCACGATGCCACCATCGGGAGTTTGGGTCCTGGGACTGGAAGTCTGGGCAGTTTGGATGTACTTTTCTAATTGGGAAGTTTGAAAGGAAGAAAGAGTAAAACAATCTTAGTGATTGGAGATCAATCTTATGAAAAGTGTAGCTATAACATGAGTATTTTTCAAAGCATAACAAATATTGTGTGGCTTACAGTCCCATTAAATGTACAGGCCATTCACACACCAGTCACAAACCAAGTGAACAGGAATTTAATATGCAATTTAAATGTTTCTTATTGTGTAGCCTACGTCTGTCTATTTGTCATAGAAAAATCATTTCGATGGCTTATTTCTGCAAGGATTTTCATGGAGCGTATGTTTGTTTTATTGTTTGGAAAAAGTCGATTTTGAATCGCATTTGCCTGTCAATTTCACTGCTCAGTGCAACTGTCTGCATCTTTTCTGATGAAGAAATATCATATATATATATATTTGTTGAGTTAATGGTAATCGCATGGAGGCTATATGTCATACAGAATGATCACCATATTCATCTAACATTGTATTGATATGGTATTACCATGGTACATGTTCAAAAAACACAGTTTAGTGATGCTTTCATATGGTAATACTTCGTGAGTTTGCTATACACAATGATATATGCTATGAATAATTATTATAATCGTGTACCATGGTATTTATATGATGATCCAAGGTACTTCAAAGAATCCCGATGCACATGTCAGACAACTCAACGGACCGCAGACAATAACACAATCATTTACAATAATATGAGAAAAATATGATTTGAATGTTCTGATCGAAACTTAATAAAAATGCGAATGCATACAAGTCATGAGGAATAACGCCATCATCGAGGTTAAAGGCATTAATAATCTGAGATGATGATAATCAATGATTCAGAGCAGATCATTTATTCATCAGTCCAGCTAAACCAGCAGGTCTATCTCGTGAAAGCCTCGCTCACAGACATCTGTGTTTTACAGTCTCACCGTGTGTCCGTCTCGAGGATGAGGTGTGCAGGACCTGTAAGGCTGTGCGAATGAATTCCGATCAATATTCCTCTATCATTGATATCGATAAAAGTGAGGGTTATCAGGCGTTGTTATGGTCGCAGACCGATCGCGGCGCACGTCGATGACGTCACACGACGGGTTTTAGCGACATCTGGTGGGAAGGAGACACTGAACGCTGTTCTTTTCAATATCTCGCGTCACATAGAAAGTGTTTTAGTTATGAGAAAAATCACAACTATGAACAACATCAACATGTCTATTAATACCTTTGTAATAGGCCTACATTAAAGTGCTATTCTTGGATATTTTGAATCTAATTCTTCAAAAGTAAATGTTTTAAATGTATGGTTTTAAACAAATTCAGAAATGTAGCCTAAATTGTCCTCATATCAGTGTGACAATAAAGCAGTGAGCAGTGATTATATTTGTGCTGCTGCTGCCCTTAACCTCACCATTAAATAAAAAATGACAATAGCTTTTTTTTAACGGAATTCTTCAGGAATTTTTCCTTCTCTTCTCTTCTCTTCTCTTCTCTTCTCTTCTCACGAGGGCGGCCTATATTTGTTATTGTTCCTGAAAGCGTTTGGGTATTCAGCATAATAGAGAAGATGTTTCAACTATACTGTATACATTCATGTTGATGTTCAGCTCACATTCTCATGATGGACACAAATATTTATAAATGAAAAGTGTGGAGCTTCATTTAGCCTAGTTTATTAGTAACGACAACGAACCATAGATAATACAAAAAAAATTCTATATTTACAAAAACAGTATGCTATATCGTACAAAGATACAACTTTCAAATGCATTTTATGTCTGAACACATGATCTATGCAGCAGTTTCTATATGCCGATGGACGTATGCTGCAAATCAATCTGATCGAGCCTGATATAACTGATACAGTATAAGGCACTGACATTTCTCACTATTTGCCATAGAAAGTTTAGTATATACACTGTTCTGCTTGAGATTAATGAATTACATTCACAATAAATAAAATCAGACGTGCTGTTGTTCAGAAATGGCCCTGTTCAAAAGTTTAAATCTGAGACGAATCCCACGCTGATGTTGTGTTGAAAATGTATAGCCTATATTACATGTACAAATATTGATGTTAGGCATTATTCATGAAACACGAACAGAATTCATTTCTGTGTAAACTTCGTAAAATGAACTTTGCAGGTCATAGGGTTTGATTCTCAGGAAAGAAACAATGCTATATATAAAGTGTCTTCTAAATGAATAAAAAGGTAGCAATGCCAGCTTAGCTAAGAATGGCTTCGCAAGCTTTAGACAGAAAATCAAACCGCTTGAGTTTCATGAATGAGGCCCGTTGGGTATAAGCACAATAAACTTCTGTATGAAACACATATTTGTCAATAAAATAATATGACACACAACTATATGCAACTACATACTAACTACATCAGTGCTACACATTTGTACATAACAGAAGCGTGATTTGGTTCCTCAACATTCACATGTTCCAGTGCACTGATCTGAACACTGACTCCAGTAAGCAGGCTGGTCTGCTGTGTGGTGTCACGGCCGGGAGCTTCTGGAGGCTCATCACATGGTGTCTGTGTGCTTTTACATCGAGTCATTGAGCAGATGCATGTGTCCAAATGAGGAGCATCACAAGCACTTCATTTACGAGTAGCTTGATTCCTCACGTCTTTTTCTCCATCTGTAAAAAACGAAACAAAAAACAGTTTATATTATTAGCCATTGCTGTAGTGAGCTGCTTTTCAGAGCAGAGCGTGTGTTTCTGTGAATACTGACTGGAATTTGTTTCTGTTTCTCAATAAAAGCTTTTGTATGATCCATATTATTGAAAGATATACAGACTAATTCATATTTTTGCCCGTTTTAGAGCTTGAAAGTATTTGAGCCAATTTTAAGTCATTTTTATGATATAAAAAGTCAAAATTACGACAGTCATATTTATGAGATAAAAAGTCAAAATTATAATATAATACGTCAAACTATGAGAAAGGAGAAAATTATGACACAAAGTCAAAATCGTAAGGTAAAAGCAAAAATGAGCATAATGAGAGATATTATGAGATAAAGTCAAAATTCATAGTCATTTTAATTGTTTTTGAAAACATTTGATCTCATTTAAAAATAGTAATAACATATTTTCCTTGCACCTTGAATACATGGAACTAAGGGGCCAAGCCCAACCCATGAAAAACAACCCCACACCATAATCCCCCCTCCACCAAACTTTACACTTGGCACAGTGCAGTCAGGCAAGTTCTCCTGGCAACCACCAAACCCACACTTTACACCACTGCATCCCACGCTTTACACCACTGCATCCCACGCTTTACACCACTGCATCCCACGCTTTACACCACTGCATCCCACGCTTTACACCACTGCATCCCACGCTTTACACCACTGCATCCCACGCTTTACACCACTGCACCCCACGCTTTACACCACTGCATCCCACGCTTTACCCCACTGCACCCCACGCTTTACACCACTGCATCCCACGCTTTACCCCACTGCATCCCACGCTTTACACCACTGCATCCCACGCTTTACACCACTGCATCCCACGCTTTACACCACTGCATCCCACGCTTTACACCACTGCATCCCACGCTTTACACCACTGCATCCCACGCTTTACACCACTGCATCCCACGCTTTACACCACTGCATCCCACGCTTTACACCACTGCATCCCACGCTTTACACCACTGCATCCCACGCTTTACACCACAAACTGGGTCACAGATTGCAGATTCCACACAACCTAAAAAGCCTCGGTATCCATCTAAAAATCTCTATGAACGAGAGCATATTAAAACGCGGATAAATCAGCTCATCAACTTACAGTCTCCTCGGCTTTCATTGTCAATTGCGCTCGTTCCTAAATTTATGCAAACATACTACGGTATTTATTATGCTTTAGTAGAGTGAAAAAAATACATACAGCACCTTTAAAGCATTGAGAGCATCTGGTCAAATCTGTCAATCTCTTTCAGCTCAAATAGAGAGTTTGGGGTGTGGCTACTGTAGCAGGCTGAGATATAAGGGCGTGGCTACTGTAGCAGACTAGGCTGAGAGTTGTGGGTGTGGCTACTGTAGCAGGCTGAGAGTTTGGGGAGTGGCTACTGTAGCACACTGAGAGTTGTGGGTGTGGCTACTGTAGCAGGCTGAGACTTTGGGGTGTGGCTACTGTAGCAGGCTGAGAGTTTGGGGAGTGGCTACTGTAGCAGACTGAGAGTTTGGGGTGTGGCTACTGTAGCAGGCTGAGAGTTGTAGGTGTGGCTACTGTAGCAGGCTGAGAGTTTGGGGAGTGGCTACTGCAGCAGACTGAGAGTTTGGGGTGTGGCTACTGTAGCAGACTGAGAGTTATGGGTGTGGCTACTGTAGCAGACTGAGAGTTGTGGGTGTGGCTACTGTAGCAGACTGAGAGTTGTGGGTGTGGCTACTGTAGCAGACTGAGAGTTGTGGGTGTGGCTACTGTAGCAGATTGAGAGTTTGGGGTGTGGCTACTGTAGCAGGCTGAGAGTTTGGGGAGTGGCTACTGTAGCAGGCTGAGAGTTGTAGGTGTGGCTACTGTAGCAGGCTGAGAGTTTGGGGAGTGGCTACTGTAGCAGACTGAGAGTTTGGGGTGTGGCTACTGTAGCAGACTGAGAGTTGTGGGTGTGGCTACTGTAGCAGGCTGAGAGTTTGGGGTGTGGCTACTGTAGCAGGCTGAGAGTTGTGGGTGTGGCTACTGTAGCAGGCTGAGAGTTTGGGGAGTGGCTACTGTAGCAGACTGAGAGTTGTGGGTGTGGCTACTGTAGCAGGCTGAGAGTTTGGGGAGTGGCTACTGTAGCAGGCTGAGAGTTGTGGGTGTGGCTACTGTAGCAGGCTGAGATATAAGGGTGTGGCTACTGTAGCGGACTGAGATTTTGGGGAGTGGCTACTGTAGCAGGCTGAGAGTTGTGGGTGTGGCTACTGTAGCAGGCTGAGATATAAGGGTGTGGCTACTGTAGCAGGCTGAGAGTTTGGGGTGTGGCTACTGTAGCAGGCTGAGATATAAGGGTGTGGCTACTGTAGCAGGCTGAGAGTTGTGGGTGTGGCTACTGTAGCAGGCTGAGAGTTGTGGGTGTGGCTACTGTAGCAGGCTGAGAGTTGTGGGTGTGGCTACTGTAGCAGGCTGAGAGTTTGGGGAGTGGCTACTGTAGCAGACTGAGAGTTGTGGGTGTGGCTACTGTAGCAGGCTGAGATATAAGGGTGTGGCTACTGTAGCAGGCTGAGAGTTTGGGGTGTGGCTACTGTAGCAGACTGAGAGTTTGGGGTGTGGCTACTGTAGCAGGCTGAGAGTTTGGGGAGTGGCTACTGTAGCAGGCTGAGAGTTGTGGGTGTGGCTACTGTAGCAGGCTGAGAGTTTGGGGAGTGGCTACTGTAGCAGACTGAGAGTTTGGGGAGTGGCTACTGTAGCAGGCTGAGAGTTGTGGGTGTGGCTACTGTAGCAGGCTGAGAGTTTGGGGAGTGGCTACTGTAGCAGACTGAGAGTTGTGGGTGTGGCTACTGTAGCAGGCTGAGATATAAGGGTGTGGCTACTGTAGCAGACTGAGAGTTTGGGGTGTGGCTACTGTAGCAGGCTGAGAGTTGTGGGTGTGGCTACTGTAGCAGGCTGAGAGTTTGGGGAGTGGCTACTGTAGCAGGCTGAGAGTTGTGGGTGTGGCTACTGTAGCAGGCTGAGATATAAGGGTGTGGCTACTGTAGCGGACTGAGATTTTGGGGAGTGGCTACTGTAGCAGGCTGAGAGTTGTGGGTGTGGCTACTGTAGCAGGCTGAGATATAAGGGTGTGGCTACTGTAGCAGGCTGAGAGTTGTGGGTGTGGCTACTGTAGCAGGCTGAGAGTTGTGGGTGTGGCTACTGTAGCAGGCTGAGATATAAGGGTGTGGCTACTGTAGCAGGCTGAGAGTTGGGGAGTGGCTACTGTAGCAGGCTGAGAGTTGTGGGTGTGGCTACTGTAGCAGGCTGAGATATAAGGGAGTGGCTACTGTAGCAGGCTGAGAGTTGTGGGTGTGGCTACTGTAGCAGGCTGAGATATAAGGGTGTGGCTACTGTAGCAGACTGAGAGTTTGGGGAGTGGCTACTGTAGCAGA